GAATAGAATAGAATAGAATAGAATAGAATAGAATAGAATAGAATAGAATAGAGAGAATAAAATAGAATAGAATAGAGCGAATAGAATAGAAAGAATAGAATAGAAAGAATAGAGTAGAAGAGAAGAGAAGAGAATGTAGAGTAGAGTAGAACAGAACAGAACAGAACAACAGATTAAGGAGTAGGAATAGTACAGAACAGAACTTAGAATTTAGGAGAAATTTCCTTCCTGACAATGAGAACAATTAATCAGTGGAACGACTTGCCTCCAGAAAATTCTCCAACACCAGAGATTTTTAAGAGGAGATTGGACAGCCATTTGTCTGAAATAGTATAGGGTTTCCTGTTTGAGCAGGGGGTTGGACTAGAAGACCTCCAAGGTCCCTTCCAACTCTGTATTCTTTTATTCTTAGTGACCAGATACATAAATAGGGAAATTTTACAGATAATCCTTGACTAACGGGACCAATGGGAATTTCCATCGCTAAGCGGTGCTGTTGTAAACCGCTGTGCTTAATGATGGCAATCCCTGCTGTCTCAGTTGCCATCCTTAATGGAATCCCATGGTTGTTAGGTGAGGCATCTTTCTGCCGGCTTTCCACAACCAAAGTCATTGGGGAAGCTGGCAGGAATTCGCAAGTCCCCAAATAGCTGGTAGGTAAGTGGCTGCTGCCAGATGGGGGTGGGGGCAAGGATGCAAGTGAAGGTTAGGACTGGCATATCACTGGTGTGTGAGAGGCACCCCATAGGTTGGGGAGAATGTGGGGGAGGGTGCGAGAGATGCTGTGTGGTTAGGTGTCGCGCAAGAGGTGCCCACGGCATGCATAGAAAGTGCTACTCAGGTTGGGAAGAGTTTGCAGAGTTGTGCAAATTTCTGGCAAGAGACAAAGAGACTGGGGAATAATAATAATGCATAGCTGGTGGAAACGTACTACGATTATCTGCAATGTTTCCTGCCGGCTTTCTCATTGACTTTCTGGGGAAGCCAGTAGAGAACATTGCAAATGGCAATGATCATGTGATCAGAGACTGTTTGGCACCGAATTGTAAATGCAAACTGATTGCCAAGTGCCCAGATCACAATCCCACGACCACAGGATGCCGAGGTAGCCATAACTCTGCAATTTATCAGTTATAATCAGCATTTGTTCAGCACTATCGTAACTTCGAAGGGTCGTTGAATGAACGGTCGTAATTGTCGAATGCCGGGGAAATCAGGAGATCCAAGCAGTTCAAATAAAGATTTATTGTAAGCTTAAAATCTAGAAGAATCCAAACGACTCACAGTTAAAGCAATTTGGCAGTAAATAAGGAAGTCGCGGTGGATTTAGATCGCTTGTGGGAGCAAAGGGACTCGTAACTTATGACCTGTTTCACTCCTCCCTTAACCTGGTCATTTCTTACAGTAATGCTGTGGATGGCATTTGTCCAAAGCAAATTCCCCACCCCCCAATTTCAAATTTTATGTAAGTTCCAAAGTGGTTTCCCAAAGGCCTTGCACTGAATCGATGGTTAAATAAGACTTGGCATGGAAATTTGTTTTGTATCGCTGGCATTCCCACGCCAGCTTTTCTGTAGAATAATCGTGTCTGATTTTTTGGTCTGGCAATGACTTGCAACTGGCAAAAATGAAGAGGTTTAGAATGGACTTTGTGTCTTTGTTACAGGGTGGAACCGCTCGGGATATGTGAGAAATTTTTGCAGGAAGTGGACTGTTTTCAAAGGTGTGTACTGGCTGGTTACATATTCCTCAGGTGCAAACAGGTGCATACCTCTTTGTCACAAGGTTGCCCTTGCCTCAATTTTCCTTCTCTTTTGCATCCACAAGCATTTGTAACACACATACACAGACGTAACCCTACTCTCAGAAAGGTAATAATTAGTTATTAGTTATACCATGTTTCCCTGAAAATAAGACCCTGTCTTATATTTTTCTTGCCACCAAAAAAGGCACCAGGTCTTATTTTCAGGGGATATCATTCACTGACTAATCTCACTTGCGCGTGTCACCCTCAGCCTCCTTTTCGCTGTCAGGGGCCTTCAGGAACTTCTTCTGTGGCCAACAAGGCTTTCCTGAAGGCCTCTGTGATGGATAATAGAGCTCTGGATCGATCCAGATCTTTGTCATCAGCTACAGAGGCCTTCAGGAAAGTCTTGCTGGCTGCAGAAGAAATGGGCCGGCCAGGCAGGTGTCGGGGTGTGCGAGGCGTGGCTACAACTGTCCAAAGGTAAGTAGTAGGGCAGCTCCACCACCACCCCCGTCCCCATTTTACTCACGCACTTTGATGTGGGCGGGATCTTAATTAGGGCTTACTTTGTGGATAGGGCTTATATTGGGCACGTGTAAAAATCAAACTAGGACTTACTTTCAGGGTAGATCCTATTTTAGGGGAAACAGTAGTTATCAATCATGTGATCTTATTCTCGTTTTTCTTCTCATGTTCCTTTTAGTCATAGTATTCTTTCATTCATTATTTTTAGCAGAATCGCTTTCTATTCTTGACTTTATATTTCCAGGTTGTTTTAATAATAATAAAAAAAATAGCCGTTGCTAATACACGTTTTTCTGTGCCTCTGTGTTGTCAGGCCTCAGCTTCTCTCTTCTCTCATCCTTTCACCAGGTGTTTTATTTCTGAGCTGCCTCACATGCAAGGCAGCTTTGTGGATAAGCTTCTTGACCTGATGCCCAGGCTGGTCACCTCCAAGCCTTCAGAGGTAGTCAAGATCCTTCGGGTGACCTTGAGACAGAGTAATTTCCTTCGCCTTCCATTGCCGGAGAAGGTGAGCATTCCATTCATTCATTCATTCATTCATTCATAAATTCATTCATTCATTCATAAATTCATTCATTTAATAAATTCATTCACCCATTCATTCACAAATTCATTCATTCATTCACAAATTCATTCATTCATTCATAAATCCATTCATTCATAAAATCATAAATACATTCATTCATACATTCATTCATAAAATCAAATACATTCATTCATAAAATTCATTTAATAAATTCATTCACTCATTCATTCACAAATTCATTCATTCGTATCATCAATACTTTCATTCATTGATCAATATATTCATTCTTCATTCAATTTCTATAGCTGCCCATCTTAGTAAAGGACTCTGGATGGCTTTCAATTCAGAACACATACTACAATTAAAGTGTTAAAAAGACATTTTAGAACAATAAAAAACAAAAACAACAACAGAAACCATTAAAAGCCTAGAGTTGTTCTATGGTCCGCTTGGTGTCAGCTGTGAGGCTGTCCTGCCATCGTGTTTTTTGGAGTCCCGGTTTCCTTTTTCCACTAACTCTTCCCAACAGAATTGTTTTCTCCCATGAATCCCCTTGCATGACGTGGCCATAATAAGTGAGACCTGTTAACAATATAGCTAGGAAACAGGGCCCTTGATGCATTCAGCATCCCAGGCACAGGAACACACAGGTTTTTAAGTTTTACGAAAGGCTACCAGGGTTGGGGCTGTTCTAACTTCTGAAGAGAGAATGTTCCACAAAACAGGGGTCAGGGATTGGACAGCCCTTGGTCTGAAATGGTATGGGGTCTCCTGCTCGATCAGGGGGTTGGGCTAGGAGACCTCCAAGGTCCCTTTCCACTCGGTTTTTCGTCTGTGGTTCAGTTGCTAAGTGTGTCTGACCCTTTGTAACCCCCCACGCACTATAGTACTATGCCAGGCGCCCTTGTCCTCTAACGTCTCCCGGTGTTCACGGCATGGATGATACTGGTTATCTATGGGGGCGCAGTGGTTAGAGTTGCAGTACTGCAGGTTACTTCTGCTGACTGCCAGCTGCCCGCAATTCAGCAGTTCGAATCTCACCAGGCTCAAGGTTGACTCAGCCTTCCGTCCTTCCGAGATCAGTAAAACAAGGACCCAGATTGTTGAGGGCAATAGGTTGATTCTGTACACCGCTTAGAGAGGGCTGGAACACACTGTGAAGCAGCGTAGAAGTCTACTGCTATTTCTTCCCTTTCCCCTTCTCCCTCCCCTCTTCCCTTCCTTTCCCTTTCTCCTTCTCCTTCCTCTTCCACTTCTTCTTCCCCTCTCTCTTCCCCTTCCTCCTCCACTTCCTTCCTTTCTTCTGTTTTCTTTTCCCCTTTTTCACCCTCTTCTTTCCCCCTTCCTCCTCCTCCCCTCCATTTCTTCCTTCCCTTTCTCGTCCTCTTCCACTTCCTCTTCCTCTTTGTCCAACTTCTGGTGGCGTGGTGGTGCAGTGGTTAGAATCAGCCTTGGAGGCTAACTCTGCCAGCAGTTCGATCCTGATCAGCTCAAGGTTGACTCATCCTTCCATCCTTCCGAGGTCGTTAAAATGAGGACCCAGATTGTTGAGGGGGGGGGGGCAAGAGGCTGTCAGAGCATTTGCAGTGTGACTACCATTATGAGATAACCCAGGAGCAAAACACAGCACACAAAGACTTAATACATTTAACAGTGGGTTTATCTGCAAGATATATCCAGAAATATACGTGGTAGGCAAAATACCTTACAAGCAATCAATCTTCTTCTTAAAACTCTATATGGAGAACTCTGCAATGAATACCGGACACAAGGAGAGAGAACACGCCCTCTAATGGCTGCCTTATATCAAATTCTGTGGACTCATTCTTCATCTTAAAAGAGCAATACCCAGGCTATGCTGATTCATCCTCGGTTGCATCAGCCTTATAGCAGCCGGTAGCTATTAAATCTTATGCCTCAATAGAGGCTAACTCTGTAAACCACTTTGAGAGGGCCGCAAAGCACAGTGAAGCGATATATAAGTCTAAGTGCTATTTGTATTGCTCTCTAACTATCTCATCTGCTGCCGTCCCCTTCTCTTTCGGCTTTCCATCTTCCCCGCCCTCGGGGTCTTCTACCAAGGAGTCCTCTCTTTTCATTTGGTGACCACAATGCTTGAGCTTCGTCTTCAGGACAGGGTCTCTCAACCTGTTGCAGATGTTTGGTTAATCACTGGCATGTCTGCTTAACGACCGCAGCAAAAAACCAAAAAGGTCATAATATGATAAGCCGCTTAACCAGCAGTGCCACTTATGACCGCCATTCAAGACTCAATTATGGTTGTAAGTCCTCAATTCAATGACCACAATTGAGCTCAAGATTTCTGTCGCTAAGCGAGGTAGTGGGGAACTGAATGTTGTCCCATTTTACGCTCTTTCTTGCCACCGTTAAGTGAATCAGTGCATGTATGAAGTCAGTAACCTGAATCAGTAAGCCAGCGAATCTGGCTTCCCTGTTGACTTTGCTCGTCAGAAGGTTGCGAAAGGTAGATCGTGTGACCCCCCTCCCCCCCCGGGGACACTGTGACCGTCATAAATACAAGTCAGTTGCCAGGCATCTGAATTTTGATTAAATGACCATGGGGGCTGCTGCAACGGTCCTAAGTGTGGAAAATGGTCCTAAGTACCTTTTTTTCAGTACCACCGTAACTTCGAACAGACACTAAACAAATGGTCACAAGTTGAGGACTACCTATACAAAGGCATGTCAGGGATTGGAAAAGGGAGTTGCAAGGTGTTGCTTTGTCTCAAGAAGCGTGTTTAGATTATTGCAGTGTAAATTCAGCGCCAGAAAAGTAAGCACAGATGGCTGAGGCTTCATTTAACTTCTTTATAAACACATCAAGTCAATTTTACAAGACCAGTTGTAGATTTCTCCAACATAGGGCAAATGGACAGAAGCAGACATGTTACAGGTTCAGAGCAGAACAGCAACTCAGGAGCTCAGAAACAGACCTCAGTTTCACTTTAGTTCAGCAGACAAGCAAGACACACAGCAAAGGAGAGAAAAAATTTCATTCTCAATAGACAAGACTCAGAGCTCAACATAGCTTCAGAGCTGCAGAGCTTAATATAGAGCCACGCCTAGGCTACTTCTAGTTTCAGTTTCCAAACAGTCCTCACTGGCTGACTTAGTTGCTATGCCTATTCATTGGCTGACCTTATTACGAAGCTCTCTTCCAGTTCGTGAATATACTCTGAACAAAGCGTAGGTTGATTTACCCCATTTCTTCCCCCAGATCCACCGAGCAACTGCCACCATTATCGAACCCACAGGAGAGTCGGACAATCCCCTGCGCTTCACGTCAGGTTTAGTTGTCGCTCTGGATGTGGACGCCACTCTGGAACATGTGCAAGATCCCCAAAGCACAGTGAAAGTTCAGGTAATGTGATGCGATCGGTGGTTGGTTTCCCAAATTGTATCCTGCCGGTGGTATGCGTGGTTCTATGCCCTTGCACTTCTCACGTGCGCGGAGGGCTCAAAGACCAACCTCTGTCGACGCTGGTAAGCTGAACTTCCCGCGTGTGCATGCCTAACACATGCTTTGCACGCACACGGAGGTCTCCAAGACTGACCTCTGTCAACGCCGGTAAGGGGAGCAGTTTTTAGCTCAGCTGAGGCGCGGCAATCAAGGGAATATAGGAGAGGTAACGGCAGAGGTGGGTGGGTGGGTCCAACCAGAGGTGGTATTTGCCAGTTCTCTGAATTTCCCCAAATGTTCCCACGTTTCTGGCAAGCCCCAGAGCAAAGTGATCACACACACACACACACACACACACACACACACACCTGTCAAGCAGCCTCTGGCTGCAAGTAGTCCAGCCCAATGCTATGAGTACCACGGCTGCGAAGCAAGAACTCCAGCAGGGCAAGTCGAGGAGCCCAGGAAGCAAAGGAGGCAGGCAAGTCATCCAGAAATCCAGAAAGAATGCTAGGAATTCAGGAAAGTTTAAACATCAGCACTCAACCCTCCATGAATTCCCCGACAAACGCCCCTCCCCACATCGTCTCTTTAAGTCTCGATCGCCAGGTGTGCTTTGTGGAGAGGGGCGGGGTGCTCTCCTCCTGAATAGATGGGCCAGTCTGCACTGTTCTCGCCTTCTCTCCACTCTCTGTGCTCTGGGATCAGGAGGAGGTGGTCCTTGCTCATTGCCTGAGAACTGTCTCTCGTGTTCACTGCTTAGCCTCCCTTCCGCCCTGCCTACAAGCTGTCCTAATCCTGAAAGACCCTGGCCTGGCTAGCCCTGCTCCTCCCCATTTTCCTCCGAAGCCGATGAAGCTGCCCCCTCTATCTCTGTCGGCTCCAGTTCCAGCTCATCTTCCCCCGCAGATTCAGGCTCCAACAACTCTCATCACATGAGAATTGAGCCACAAAGGCCACCGTGCGGGTTAAGAGCAAGGATTCGACGTCCCACCATTTTGTCTCCAATTCTCGGTTGGCCAACTGCCATTGGGTGCGCACCAATCTTTTTCAACCTCAGGCCCTTGAAGATGTGTGGACTTCAACTCCCAGAATTCCCCAGCCAACAAAGACTATTTTCATGAGATTTCATGGGCTTTATTATTATTTTTTTTCAAGAGATAATTCTTTATCAAGGGGATGTCACGATAGAATGACTGAGTTGCGGGAAAAAATGGTGGAACGATGTGGGACAAGCAGGAATGGCTTCATTGCAAGTTCCAATCTGGGTTGGTCATGGGGACCAGAGGTTTAGTCTCGTGCTGGAGCGCATCCTCAGGAAACTTTTCCCTCACCAGAATGTGTGCTTTGGACTACTCTGTGTTGTATTTATATGGTGCCTGGTTGTGTGTTGCTTTTTAGTTGTTTAATTGGGGTATTGAGGGCCGGCTACTAAGTCAGATGTGGCTGATGCAATAAGAATGAATCAGCATAGCATGGGTATTTCCCTTTAAGACTGGGGATGGGTTCTATCCCTTTAAGAGGTGTTTATATAAAGGCAGCCATTAGAGGTTGTGTTCTCTCTCCTTGTGTACGGTATTCATTGTAGAGTTCTCCACGTAGAGTTAAGAAGAAGATTGATTGCTTGTCAGGTGTTTTGCCTACCACGTATATTTCTGTATATGTCTTGTATATAAACCACTGTTAAATTTCTTAAGTCTCTGTGTGCTGGATGTTTTGCTCCTGGGTTGTCTCGTAATAATAGTCACGGTGCAAATGCTCTGACATGATGCTCCCCATTTCATTCAGCACTCAGAAATAAAAGTTCACCCAAATAAGAATTTATTTGAAGAAATCATCCTGGCACATCTGAGAAAACTTGAATCTGAAGAGTTCCAGGTTTCCCCTTCCCAATTGAAAGTCATAAACCCATCCTCTGCACCCACCAGTCCATCACATGGCCCAATCAACCATCGTCCCAACCGGAGACATTTTTCCAGACACTCCTCTCCAGGTGCAGGGTAACTTGTCCTTGACTTTATGAGAAGAATGTTGTGTCTAATCTTCTACCACTCTATGCAATTCCCCCCTCCCAAATTCCCAGGCACTAAAAATATGGCAACTTCAAAGCTTCAAAGTAAAATATGGCTACAACCTATTTCCCAAGCATCAATTATCTCCCTGGCTATTTTTGGTCCGGCTCAGCCAACAATCTTAATAGCTGCAAAATTAAATGTTTTGCTTCACTGGTGATTTAAGGGTAGAGGATCACTTCAGGTCTCTTTTTTCTTCTTCTAGATCATGTATCCTGATGGCCAGTCCCAAGTGATCCACCCGAAACCGGCAGATTTTAGAAACCCTGGTCCAGGAAGGCACCGATTAATTACTCAGGTTTATCTCTCACACACTGCCTGGACAGGTAAGGGAGGCTTGGCTTTAAGTGCTTCTTTTGACCCACTGGGAAAATTTTGGTGGAACGTACATTTCATCTGGGTCATTTCTCAGAGTTTGTTTATGTACGTCCTCAGCTTACGACCACAACTGAGCCAGAAAATTTATGTTGTTAAGGGAGAAATTTGTTAAGGAATTCCCCCCGTGTTTTACATCCTTTCTTGACACAGATTGTTAAATGAATCACTGGAGCTGCTAAGTGAATAACACGGTTGTTAAGCGGACTCTGGCTTCCCTGTAGACTTTGCCGACCCTGGGATGCTGCAACTGTTTCTAAGTACATGCCAGTTGCCAAGCCTCTGAATTTTGATCCCGTGACCACAGGGATGCTGCGATGTGTGGAAAAGAAAAAAAAAAGATCTTGTAATTTTTTGTCAGTGTCATCGTAACTTCGGACGGTCACTAAACAAACGGCTGTTAAGTCGAGGACTTACCCGTATGTTAGTTGCTTTTTGAAACCTGGTGCCAACTCATAAAACATTCCCATGCCTGTTTTAGTAGTTGCCATAAAAAAAAGGGGGGGGGAGAGGAAGGAAATCTGGAAGAGCAGTGCAGCAGTTTGGAAGCGAAAATACATTCCAACTCTTATCTTGAAAAGATTGTAACTAAAATACCAGAGCTTTTGCCCGCGAATATATTTAATTGGAGAACATGAATGATGACACCCAGCCCGTAATTGGAGAATGTGATTGATGACACCCAG